TCGCCTTTTTGTCATGTGGACGTGGACGCTACAGATGATGTTGATGCATGTTCAACTCGAACGGTGAGCACACAAACGCCACGTTGGATTCGCCGTGTTCAGCCGGCGAAAGATGAGAAGGACTCGTGCTGTTTTTTTCTCAATTGTGTTGATCAGCCCTGGTGCTTGCAGGACCTGAAGAGAAAAGGACGAACCAGCATGATGCATCACAGTCTGTGCCCGAGTGATGCTTTCAACAATGTGTTCCCATGCAATGTTGCGAGCCAGGTCGGGCTCTCGATGGCTTTGGCACCAATGAACTACTGGACTGCGGCCGGATGCTGTTTTGCCACTGACTACTACACTACTACCACTACTACCACAACTACTGGTTTGCAAGCTGCCTGGATTGCACGCAGGCAACGTTGTTCTCTTCCGCCCCGTGAAGAAGAAGCTGGCAGAGCAGAACTGAGAGAAAAAAAGCGCCATTGTTTTGATTGCAACTGAGTATAGCTGCATCTTGAGTGGGGTCTTCCCTGTGCACAGGAGTAGTAGTAGTAGTAGTAGTAGTAGTAGCAGTAGTAGTAGTAGTAGTAGTAGTAGTAGTAGTAGTAGTAGTAGTAGTAGTAGTAGTAGTAGTAGTAGTAGTAGTAGTAGTAGTAGTAGTAGTAGTAGTAGTGGTAGACGTAGAACAATGGACGGTGGACAGTGTCGTGTATATTCCCTCTGGCAACAATCTATTCATGACATCGTTGATGAGCCTGCCCTGCCCCACCCCAGTCCAACTTGCAATCTGTTCCTGCTGTTGCTGCTCCTGCTTTTGCTGCTGTTGCTGTCCACTGTTCACTGTTCATGGTCTTCAATGCTCACTTTAAATCCTGCTTTCAAAGCCCCTTTAAGGCTCCCAAAACGAAAAGGTCAGAAGGTTAGATACCAACGAACGGAAGGTCAGTTGCTTTGAACAGGGATTTTATAGGAGTCCAAAGTCGCTTCCGTCGGCACGCCAGACAGCCAAAGCGTACCTCTTTCCCGGCTTTCCCAGAGCTTCGTGGGTGGCTGGACCCGCTTCCCCCCGATGGTCACAACACTGTCAAAGTGGCGCCCCAACGCGCGGCCCTCATCCCAAAAGGTTCCCTTCATCTCGCCCTCGGCGGGCTCGACCTGGGTTATCTGGGTGGTGGCGTTGACGGCTGCTTGGGCCTGATAGCCAGGCGGGGGCCGGCCGGCTCAGGCACGGTTCGCTGTCTCTTGAGCGGGGCAGCTGTGCAGCAGGGGCCTCGACAAGTGTTGGCATCTTCTTGAGCTTCGGCATCGCCTTGATTTTGCCTTGGGCTTCAAGATCACCGTTGGCGGTGGTGACTCAGGCGCTGCCACAGGCCACAGACCGCCTGACGCGGCAAACATCTGCCTCGTGTGTGCCCCCGCAAACGCGCCCAGATTGCAACAAGATGGCACAGCGATGCCGACCTGCAGGACACTCGTCCCCTCCATGCTGGCAGTGGCTGGCTTGAAAGGCGGCGCAGAGCTGGACGCCGTCGCGCAGCGTGGCTGACAACTGTTTCCCGCCGATTTGCCGTGGCATCATTGCATGCGAGGCGGCCGGCACGGGCACAACGGCCGGCAGGCGAAACCTGGGCTGGACCTCGTCCTCGGTAAGCTGGCCCTGCCATACCGTGTGCTGGTCCTTCTGCGCCGACCTGTCCATACCGAGAGCTCCAATCACGCTCCGCAGCCGCCAGAGCTTCAGAGGTCACCTGCTCCCAAGACGAAAACTTCACCAAGCCAGCAACAGCGTTCAAAAGGAAATGCTTGCGGCGAACCGAGGAGGTTTTCCCTGGTGCTGCTGGGCCATGCTCGTTGAAGTTGATGCCCGCGCGCTCCCGCGAAAGCACTGGGAGTGCACGCCAGCCCTCCAGCCAACGAGAAGACCAATCCCAGCCAGACATAAAATAGCTCGGGATGGCGTGGTCAAAGCCGTGGCGGCTCCCTCTCTGCTTGCCGCGGGAGCAGTGAAAGTGGAAGGTAGAGCGGGACAGCCTTCGCGGAGAGGATCTGGACACATGAGTCAGGCGAAGTACCCCGAAGCAGCAAGCCCAAAGGCCCAACAAGGCACGCCACTGCGGGTTCCGGCTGTTGTAGAGCTGCTCGATCCTCGTCTCCAGAGCTGTCAGCATCGGCGGCTCAGCCACTGCCGCCTGCTGCGGCTCACGAGCCGGCTGCCCACGGAAGTCGTAAGCCGACAAATCGTGCCCTAGCTGGCCCGCTTTCACCAGCCAACGCAGCCCCGCCAGGGCCCGAGCTTGGGCCGCAGAGGAACGCGTCTAAGTCGACGCTGTCAGGTGTTAAGGACCTCCCTCTGTCCGTCATGTGGATCTGCAACTCTGAAAAGGTCAGAAGAGCGCCTCGCACTGTGGCAGATTCCGCATCACGAACCTTGGCCTCCGACTTGTGCTGCAATGCGGCCCTCCATTCGCGCTCCAAGCGTACATCATCTCTTTGGCTTTCTTTCTTTCGCCCCTTTCTCTCTCTCTTTGGGTGTGCTTGTGTATTTACACCCGCTGCGTAGTCATAATGCCACTTAGCATGTTTGTGCAGTCTCCTGTCCGTCATCCTTCTGCAGCGCTTGTTGGTTTCGCAGGGCACCCCCCACCTCTCGCAACATCCAGTGCCGGGCACCACGCCGCTGTGTAATGAAGACCTGTAGGACACTGGGACAGACCCTGTGCTCACGCTTCCTCCTAGGCCGGGTACAATCATGGAAAGTGCAGATTGTGATAAGCAGAACATGAAGAGGGCCGCAAGATACACTTCCTTGTGGCAGCGTGGAGAGAGCTCCGCACGGATTTTTGGTTCCCATTCCCATGTTCGATGGGAGGCGCTGACGCATGACATGCGAACAACGACACCTGATTGCCATGGCAACAATGGTCGAACTAGGATCGCGGAACTTGTGAGATTCCGTAAAGCCCGGGGGCGCAGCGCCTCGGTCAGTGCCTCCACGTGGTCTTCGGACGGCTTTGGATCTGCAGTCACCTCTGCAGCCGCGGCCTTGCGAATTATTCGGCCCTTTGCCGCCACACGAAGTCGAAAAGAAGAAGGCCGTCTCACGGCCGCCGGCTGTGGCGGTGCCGGTGCATCCAGAGCAGAAGCCACTGCACCATATAGCCCCCAAGAAGCACTACTGGCCCGTACCGCAGCCCACTCCTCAGCCGCCAGTGTCCCAGCTTGTGCCATGGCCTCCTCGTAGCTTTGGAAGGTGAAGGCGAAGTCAGCATCGTTCAGGAGCCCACGCTGCTCGCGCCACTGCCCGGCTCGCTGCCGGGACATCTCGCCCATCGCAGTAAAGGCACTCTCGGGTGCCGAAGCCGCCGACTGCGACTCCGCCGCACACACGCCCAAGTTCCCGGGGCATGATGACCAAAGCAAGCCTCACAGCCCAAAGCTGGAGCCCAAATCTAAGGAAGCACCCGCAATTCCTGCAAGCAACATGCCCCGAAGAGAGGAGACCCTGTGCACCAAAGAGCCCCCCTGTCCTGGGCCACTCGGCTCTTCCATCGCCGGGGGTGTGGCGAGGAAGAAGAAGCGTCCAGAACCTGACGAACGGGCCGAGCTTATATCGCAAGATCGCCACCTGCTGCTCACCTCCCATCCGTTTATATTCCAAGTGCAGGCCCGACTGTCGATCACTCCGGCGACCGGTGACCGGGCGTAACTCGCCCGACCCCCGGGAAAGCACCACGCACCTGTCCCTCAGGCCCTCAGGCACGGCACTTTGAAAGTCCAGGCTCAGCTTCCGACCGAGCACCTGCCAAAATTGTCGAGCCCCACAACTGCCACAGCGAGAGGAATCGGCAGCCCCACGCCCAGCCGCCGACCCTTTAGCCTCCGGCCCCTCAGCTGGACGAGGAAGAATCGGAGACCTCCCTGTCGACCAGCGCCTCGCAACCTGAACAACAAGCGGCAGCATTGCCTACACGCGGTGGCCCGCAACCGTTTGTTCCTGGGCAAGGGGTTGGCACAGTAAAGGCACATAGCTCGGAGGTTGCCTGGATCTTGCTCGGGGTTGCCTGCATGGAACAACCAAAACATGAGGGCAGGGTCGGGGTCACACCAACGCCTTGCCCCTTGCTGCCACTGTCGCCAAGTATCAAGAACCGATGCAATTGAGGCGCCCGGCAAATCGTGCAAGGAGTTGATCTCGGCCATGTACAGCACCCTAGCCATAGTAGCCGATAGCATGTCCTGAATCGTGATATCAAACCCATACTGGGCCATCTCCTCGGGTGACAACAGAACCGTACATTCGTAGAACCGGCCCTTGCATCATCCGGGTGCCACCCATCCGGCACAACCGTGGCGCGAACCGACCACGGGCCCAACCAGGGAAACTGAAAACCCCCACGACCCTGTTCGCACCTGGCACACAGCTGGGCAATGCAAAGGACCCTGCGAAGCGGCACATACCTGCCATCGATCCTAAGGCTTGGAACCTCATCGATAACGGCAGGGAAGTGTACCACTTCGCACACCTGATTCCAGACATGCCAGAATGCTTCCGAATCCCCTGTGTCACTGAACATGCACCTAATGAAGGCAGACATGTTCTCAGCCGAGAGCACGCGGGATTCCGTATAGACAATAGGGCCAACACGTGTGGCCACATCCATTGCCTATATTGGAGTCAATCTCCAAAAGCGAGAAAAGAATACCAGCTTGCCAGGTTTGGCTCTAGCTGAAGCTTAAGCCAAAATTAGCAAGCAGGTACAAGGTTCCTCAAAAATGATACATGCACAAAAATGATACATGCACACCCAAGCCTGCCAAACTCGATGCATGAACATCCATCAAAATGTACTTTCCACTCATGTTCCTGCAACACCAATCCCTAGCCAGAAGTTCGCGCCACACTTTTGTTACTTTTGTTTTGCCCTTTCCCTCCGGTTGAGGACCTGCTGAGGACGTGGGAAAAGGGAAGTCAGCAATCCAGCAATACCAAATTGTTGGGAGGAATCCCGAGCTGCCTTGGCTTCTTCTGTCACTTCGGGTTGATCTTCCCTTCCAGGCATGTGCACGCTCAAGTCAAGAGCATCGGACCTGCAGTTCGCATTGCACGATGCACTACCGAGGAAAGCGCGCCGGCTTCAAAGCCTTAGCAGTTGGTGCAGCTAGAATGTTGTGAACAATTCGTGTTCTACGTGACACCATGTGCAATGGAGACACTGCGAGGTCAGGACACCCATGATTGCTCGCCTGCCTTTTCGCGTCGGTCTCGCAGGAATCGTTGAGCCCTTGCCACAGTCTGGGCTAGGATCAATATGTTCAATGCGGCTCATTGGAGTACAGTGAGTGCGGCGTGCGTGGCAGCACACCAGGAAAGCTGGTGCAGGGTGCTTCTGCGGTTGCCAAATGATTCGCTCCTTGGCAGTCTTGTCACCTCCAGGCCTTAGCTTGTTACACAGTTCTGTGCCAAGCTGCCAAACAGCCCGGTCGAGTCTGGCCTGGTGTCTGCTCGATCTGCCCGTCTTGCATCTTTGCTGCCCCCCTTGCCCTGCCAGCTCATCTTGTCACTCAAAATTCGGTCAAGCGTAAGCCAGCCAGCCGGGCGATTGATCCTCTCCGCCTGAGCTTGCACACAGCGACTGTCGAAACACACAGATCAAGCCGGAGGGTGCGGATTCGCTGCACTGGAGTGGCTTTCAGCATAATCTGCTAGTTCATCCCACAGCCACCTTATGCTTAGTCAGTGCATGTGACGGATAAGAAGGATTGAATAATAAATGCAAGTGCTTCAGCATCCTGGTTTCGAGCGACCAGGCAACTGCTCTCCGTGGGCAACTAGCGCTCTCCACTATTGCTTGGAAGATGATGTGCGACAATGCTTGCTGCTGCACAATGCTGAACCCATCAGCGTGTATCATCGTCCACTGGGATCCAGATTTCAGGGTTTACGTCTTCCTGCTGACTCGAGCCGAATGCTCTACACGGAACTATGCCGACATCTTGCTGATGCAATAGCACGGACTGCTCTGAGTGTAAAGTGCTCATATCAACACTGTCGCAGCATCTCTCTCCAGGTGGAACTCTTGTTGTCTTCAACCTGCATTGGGGCTGGCATTTCAGGATACAAGGAAATGTCTTTGGGAAGTATGTGTCGGTACTCTATTGCAACACTCAGAGTACCCACTGTGTCTTGATTGAGGCGAGAGGCGCATTGATTCCTGCAGGTTCCTGGAGCAGCAAACAAACAAACAAAAGCATGTCGGCCCGATCCGGAGTCTGATGGCAGGATTCCTGCAAGTTCTTTTGTCGAACCGGGCTGGCTTCTTCACGATCACCCGGGTCGCTTTCTTCCAAGCTCTCGCCGTTGGCAAGTTTAAGCTTTGCTGCGAGGCCGGCCTCTGGGGCTTTCGGCTTTCACACTCGGAGGCACTGACCACAGGAAAAAATCATGTCTTCGACTTTTTTGAGACTGAGTTCACGACACGCTTTTCTTCGAGCAGTTGGCATGCCTTTCATTTCAGCACTGCAGCACAGTTCGGTCTGAAACGTGCAGAATGACGAATTTCCCGGCTGCCTTTGTCAAATCTGCCAAGTATGGCCGAGACCTTTTCCCCGAGATTGAAGCTTACAGCATAATTTGCACACTGCGAAGTTCGAGGCCGCCGCTGGCTTACGGTCTTGAACTCTGATGGCTGCGGCAAGTCCTATGCGATTGGATCTCTTCTGCGCGGACAAGAGCTGTACATGGGCGCCTCAGCCCCATCCAGAACGGGTTGCCCGTCGGATCCGAAAAGAACGCTGTAGGACTCGGCAGTGGCCCTCAGGTTGCTCCGAAAGGCTTTCTTCATCTGAAGAGCAAGGCCCAAGGCTCTTTCATGGACGGAACGTCCCCAGCTTCGTCGACAGCTGACATGACAACCTTGACGATTCGAAACTGCACCGGGCAACTGCAATGATACAAGCAACCAGTTCCACCTTGTCCTCCAAGCCGGATTCTGCCTGCTCATCTCCATGCTTTTGTCATGCTGCTAGATTTCAGCACACAGCCAAAACGGTGTTCTTGCTAATCACTTGTCAAGCAGGAACGGAGCTCGAGCTTGCTGGATGCAACTGGCAGCTGTTTTGGCTCCGTAGCAAAAAGGCAACAACATGCAAAAGGCAACAAGAGAGCTGGGCAGCCGCAGGTTAGCCCAGCCGCATGGGAACGCCTGCAAAGATTCAGGAGAGCCTGGTCCAGTCTTCCTTGCGTCCCAGCTGTCTCCGGAGCTCTCATCATCCTTTTATCGGTTCTTGTTAACTCCCCCGCTTCGCTTACAAGCCCATGGTCATCTCGCGACAGCCTCGTGCCTGCACTATGGTCTACTGAAAAGACAAAGACTTTTACCTGATTGTGTGATACTTGGAGGCATGGCTGGAACTTCTTGCCTGAATAGCTTGGTGTCTGTCTTGTGCGTAAGCATCACGAGGCCTACCGGCAGTTCGCCTCGGTTCGAGGTGGTTTCTACTGCTGTGTGGGTTCACTTTCTGAGTATTCCACGTAACGTGCGGATGCCATGGGGATGCGCTGGCCTCTGTGGACTGAGCATCACCCTTGTTCAGGGAGCGACCAAATACATGCAGATAGGCGCATCATCGAGCATGCCAAAGGTTGATGATGGTGTCAATGCGCCAAGGCAAACGAGAAACCATGTGTTGTCCAATGTACCGCTACTCCGTACGACGATGCTCACGTTCTTTTCTTATCGGCTTGGGTGGCACCCGTGCCTGCTGATCCCTGCCGTGTCCTTGTCCTTGCCCTGCTTGTTTCGCCCGAAAAAACTTGGAACCTGTTATATAAGGAGTCGCTAAAGCTGAAGACTGAAAAGCATCGCCTTGAGCTTCTTCTTCGGCCCATGAATAGCCTCCGCCCAAGTCGAGGCTAATGGGCTGCGTTGGCTGGCCGCCCTCCAAGCCGTGGCACGGCACCTGCTCCAAGTGGCCCTTCTCTTCGATGAGGACCTGGAGCTCTTCTTTTGACTCTTGGAGCTTTTGCTGCCTGGACCAAATCACATCGAGCACACTCTGGCGATGCGCTCGGCCGAGCTCGGCACAGCACTTCCAACTTTGGCTTGAACGTATCGCCAGACCTCGCTTCATTCGTTTTGTCGCGGAGATCAAATCAAGGCCCCTTTCTTAGATCCTGGCTTAAGCCCGTAAGACCTCAATCCAAGGCAGCATTGGAGGATTCCGGTAAGAAGCGAATCTCAGCACCTGGCTCCATGCGTTCGGACAACAAGTTCTCCTTCCAAGCAGCCAGCACCCATGCTGCGCTGTGCAGCTGTTGCCCGAGCCCAGGTGACATTAGTGACACTCAGTCAAACATGTGCGTCCTTTGCAGATTCAAAGGTCGCTCTCAGTTTCTGGTACTCCTGCTGCACCTGCACAAGTTGCTGTGACAAGTGACAGTGCTGCACATTGGGCAGGGATCACCAATCCGCCGGCCCAGCTGCACAGGAGCTCACGAGAATCTTGCTCATATACAGTACAACGTACTTCCGGTTTCACGGGGTTGAATCTGACTGTTTCACGATCGGGACCTGCCCTAAACTCAAGGCATGCGTTCACGGCTGAAGTAAGAGACCACCACAGTCTGGAGAGGCATGTAGTGTAGTGGTTTGCAGAAGCGGCATGGGCGTGGGCACACGTATTCAGGTCTCCAGGACGGTAGCTCCGAATAATCGGAAAGTCAAGCAAAAATGGCAGACATGAATGCACATGCTGTGTTCCGTGTGGTTTATCCTAAGTTCGTTCGTTCGGGCAGTCTCCAATGAAAGTGCGGTGCAAAAGTCTGTCGCTCCTGACCTATACATGCTTGGCACAGATAGCTCAATCTCATTCATGGAATGTAGATTAGCATCACTTTGCCAGCATGCAGGTGTCAGCATGACACCGACAGACTCAAGCCCTGGCATTGTAAAAAAAAGAACAGAGTGTACACTCAAACTGGTTCCGCCTGCTCGACGGACTTCTCGAGGTTCGGAGCCCGGCTCAACAGCCTCACTGCTGCATCGGATGCAAGCCGCTTCTCGAATCTCTCGCCAGCTAAACACGGCGCCAATCCGCCAAAGATGCTGCATCCGGCCCCTGCATTGCAGCCGAGCTGAATGAATCTGTACACAGCTTTAGCGGCAACCAGGCAGTTCACAGGACTTGCGAGCTTAGTTCTCCCCCATTCCTTGTTTCAATCATCCGCCAGACAGTGACAAAAGAGCCGCAACGGTCAAAACAATCGAGCGTGGCCTTGGAATCGTCTGCATCCTGAGTATCCTGAACAACGAGCTCCGCATGACTCCGTGCCCTCACTCGTGCTGGTGCATGGTGCATGCCTGTTAGTTTGCCTAGGCCTCTCGCGAAACTTTTGCACCAGCCCGTTGTGAAAACGCAGTCGCTTCACTCTGTAATCTCGTTTGCGCCCGATAACCGGCCAGGGCCCGACCAATCTATCAGCCGACTAAGGGTGGCCTGCAGCCAGAACTGGGCCTGGATGGCCGCATTCAAGAAGAAGTTCGCTAAAAAGTATCCGCACCAGCAAACCAAGCAAAGAGAACGAAGGCGAAGATAGATTGGAATGGTTTACGGCTACGCCCTAGGCATGAATTCGGCACCAATGGTGCTGGAGAAACAGAACGATGGCAGATCCAGCAAAGATCCGTAGATTCATGTAGATTCCGTAAACTAACATTTGATGGAGGTCCGAGTCCAGTCGACCTCCACTTCTGTTCATGCAAGATTTTGCCGAACAACGCGGCCAGTCTCTTCTGCCTTTGTTCAAAGCTCCCCGGTTCGGCGCTGAAATGATTCCTGTGTCAAACTCCCTCCTTAAGCTCAAACTGTGCTGGAAATATTCACCTACTCTACTCATCTTGTCAATTCCGACACCGTCACAAGATCATCGCACGATCATGAAACAAACGTGCGCCCGCTCTCTTTGCTTTGCTTGGGGCATGGGGCGGGAGCAGTCCTCTCTCTCTCTCTCTACCGGGCGTGGGGTTCAGGCCAGCGTTCAGGGCCATCCCCCCGTGCGATCCGCACACCCGCATTTCGCGGATGGTTTTTGTTCCCCCCCAGAGTTTCGCTCTGAGAGGCTCGGCTTTACAGGCCTCCCCTTTCGGCCGAAAACTGCAGTTGGTTTTGCGGCCCGGAGGCTATGTGCGTGGGGATTTGATCCTGGTAATGTTCTCTGTCGCTCACCCCACAAAGAGCTGTATTGACTGTTGGCGTGGTTGCCTTCTACAAACTGGATCACCGTTACTTCCACTTCCACACACGCACTCCTATGCAGGCAGATCCAACGTTCGCTCGTTTTGCACACTCACGGCCGGCGGTGGATCGTCTGTGCACGGGATAGCTCTGTCTACTCGGAGAATCACAGAAGATTATAGCACTTTAGCTATGGGCAATGCTTTCTAGAGCTTGTGCTCATTCTTGAGCCAAACGTTGCATGGGCGGTCATACTGAAAGGATGGATAGGCATTGCGGTGTGCGTAGCACTACCACAAGCCTACTCCTAGAGACGAGGGACGCGTGGCGTGCCCCCTTCCCTTGCACTTTACACGGTCTTGCTCACAGCTCTTATAGTGACACCTTGGAACTTGACAAGGCATCGCAGTCCGTTCGCACCCCCCATGAGTTGCGTCTCTGACGCTGCTCACCCGGAAGATGGCACGATAGGAATATCAGAAAATTTGTTCCGCCGCAACTTTGACGTATAGATCAGAGCTTTTGCATCCCAATTAGAAACGTTGTGACACTCATCTACGTCGGTAACGATCCCCTGAAATGGCAAACGAATCAGGCGTCACCGAAGAAAGAAGCATTCGCGATGGAATTCCACGTGCGAAGCACAGAGGTCACAATCTGGAAGATGAGGTAGATCATGTGTTGTCTCGCCACCATCTTCGCGTTGACGTAGGATCGCGTTCCCAGGGCCGGAGGTTCTCCTCTGGATACTGGTTCCTCTGCTTTCCTTTGTCCTTGCCTTTGTTTCGGCCTTTGCCGGCGATGTAGTCGTGGTAGGAATTGGCGTTCCAGCCACCATGTTGCTCATCTCCGGTTCTCTCACGCCCTTTTGAAGGTCCCTTTGCCGAGGAAGCGCTTGCACGTTCCTCCGTAGTGACGGGCGTGTCCATGATGGAAGTACCACCCGGAGGGAGATACTCTTCGGCCGAAATGTGATGTAATGCTTCAGGACGTCGAGTATTCGGATTTTGCTGTCTTTCAACTCTAGACTTGACCAATCTGTCCATGAAGTGCGCTGGCATTTGCACGTTGTGGTCCACCAGCAATCCAACGGTCTGGACGGAATAATCTGCATGAGTCAAGAGGATGCCGACCGGGTCGATGTACAGAAAGTCCACTGGTCCAGTTGGCGTGTTTCGTAGTACCGAAAATTGTTGATGTCCCGTCACCATCGGGATAACTTCACATAGGACGTTGAGGCAACAAAAGTGCATTGCTTTCACGTCTTCATCCTTGTTACTCTTCAAGTATGTGGTTGGATTGAAGTTCTCTCTGCCGATTCCCATCATGTTGGCTCCCCGTGTCAATAGCGAAAGCATCTGGTTCGTCCGGAAGCGCTTCAAAGTGTAAGTCCCATTGGGATCATACGACTTGAGGTTTTCAGGCTCCTTAGCACAGCGAAGGATCTCCTCATCAGTCACGTCCCTGCTCACACCTGTTTCTTTATCCACTCCAGCCAAAGTTCCCCACTTTCCGAGCACATCATAGCGTTGGCCATGTGCGAAATTCTCTCTCATCTGAAACAACGGCATAGTCGCCCATTTCGCGAATCCTGACCAAGCTTTGTAGATGGTTCGGCATACAACGAATGCCATGTACGAAAGAGCAGCCATGTTGGCGTCGATGCAATGGGCGTTCCGTTTGCCGTGGTAGTAGGGCGGCTGCATGGCGGTGCGGGCGATCTGCAGTTCAGGGTCGATGTTCAAAGACTGACCGGCAATGAGGACGGTCTGGTACTTGGTCGTCAAAGTCCTCTCCTGGTTCCGTGTCCATTTCTTCATCAGGTTCCTGTTCTGGATCGTCATCACCAACGACGGATGGTTCTGGAATTCCTTCGGGTTCCGCAACCGATTCCGCTTCCATCGTGTCCATATCCCCCACTGCATTGACGGCTTGTTGGAGGCTGGCGGTCATCATTGCCTCCATCTGGGCAGCCGTGAGTGCTCCCCCTTGCATGTTTGGGAGCTCTTCTCCCCCTGTGGTGTCGGTGGGCTGGTCCGTGCCCTCCGCGGCGCCGTCGCGAAGCTGCGTGGTGGAGCCGTGGTCGGTCTCGGCTTCCCCGTTCTATAGGCCGCCGTCTCCTCCTCGGTGTTCTCGCGAACCGGCGCGTGGGAGTCGTGGGCGGTCTCGGGCTCCCCCGTGTGGTCCACGTGGGTCTCCTGCACCGCGTGTGCTCCCCCGAAGAGAGCTTGTTGCCAGGCTTCAATAGCATGTAGCAGTTCGATCACGGGCATGAGCACGGTGTCCGTCACGTAGGGCACGATGTCTTTGAGTCTCCGGGCTGCTTTGAGGAGGCGTTCTGTGGCGCTTGCACGCCGGTCCGTGCGTGCTTGCCATTCCTCGATCCCCTCCCCGCCGAGCTTGAGCACATCAGCTGGATGGGCTGTGGTGGGATCGTCCTCCACGTGGTAGGCTTCCCCCTTTTTGGTTGACAGCAGTGCGGCTGGCGACAGTAGATCATGGAGGGCGTCCCACCATGCCAGCGTGTTCCATGTGCGATCCCCTCCAAGTGCCAGCAGGATCACCCCGTCGACCATCTTGTATGCCTCTCTGAGTTTGGCCATGGCTTTGTGGAGGTTGGCTTCGGTCACATCCCCCGGCATCGGCTCCTGGAGTTCGGAGAGGCCCGCCTCGATCATTGCCCTGAGCTGGCTGAGGTCCGTGGCGAACTCTTCTGGAGTAAAGCCCTCGCCCCTTCTCACCCTCATTGAGGATACGAAGCGGTAGGCCTCGCTCATCCCCGTTGGTTCCGCCATGACTGCTCTCCCCCACGTTCTGGCTTCCGGGTGGGTGTCGGCTTGCGAGAGCATGCGCAGTGCAATGGCGCATATGTTGGAGATGATTTCACCATCTCTGTTGGCGAGGCCGTCCGCGATCTCGTGTATCATCTGCAGCTGGGCGAGGGTGGCCGTGATAGCTCCCCGCTGTGCTGCAAGTAGAGCTTGTGCACTTGGTGGTTCCCCCGCGGCGGCTGCGTCATTGGAGCCCGCGGCTGCTGAGGGTAGTCGGCCATACACGCGGCGTCTGGCTTGCTCCCCCAAGGGTGTGCGCCTTCGCCTTCGTGTCAGCCCACAGTTTTCTTCGTCTGTGGTGGCGCCGTTCCAGTGGCTTTCCCCCTCCGGTCTCGGTGACGGTGTCGACGTGGTACTGGTAGAGGTCGAGGTGTGGATATGGATCTCCCCCTGCATGAGCTCTGTGCGGTCGCTGTCTGTGTGCGGAGCTGGGCTTGGGCTCGGTTTTGGACCGATATGCCTTCCGTCTCGGAATTGATGGAACCACGGGGTAGGCGCTGGTTGGGCCTGCCTTTGGGCTTGGGAAGCTTGTTGTGCTTCCGGGCTGGAGCGGCGTAGTGTTCTGCCGTCAGACAGCGGGTCTTGTTGCTGTTGCGGCTGTGTTGGTTGTTCTGTCTGTGGTTGCTCTGCCTCCTGTTGGGCGTCGGTGTGGGACGCGGCTCCTTCTTGTGGTGCTTGGTACCAGTAGTCCCAGTTGTCGTGGGTGTCGTCTGTCCTCCACTGCCACTCTTGTTGCTGTGTTGTCGCTGGTGGGTCCTCCTCTGGCCTCGGAGTGTTCTCCGGCTGCGGCTGTGTGCTGCTCTGTGCTTGGTCGGTTGTGGGGCTGTGGTTGGTGTCCCCCTCCTGCAGGAAGCGGTCTGGTGTGGTGGTGGTGAACTGCATGTGCCACGCGTCGGCCCTGGTCATGAGGAACTGGCTGTATGGCTCTTGCTGTGCTGCAGTGGGTGTCTGGGTGACTGTGGCGAGCCACCTTCTTTCTGAGAGGGGCTCCTGCAGCAGCCATGTCTCTCCGCTTATCGGTGGATAAGCAGCCATGGGCATCCCCCCCGTGGGCGGGGGGATTGCTCCTTCGCCCGGGGTGGTTGCAACAGATCCACCCCAAAGTACCAAAGCAGCCACCTACACTCCCCATTGGCACCCGGACGCCCCCTCCGAGCAACCACCGCAAGGCACCAGCTACTATCCAGCGCGGCAGCCAAAGCCACAGCCTAACCCCACGGAAGCACAACAGGAACCACCACCACCACCACCACGGCCACCAACCTTGGGGGGACAGAACACGGTCCCACCCCCACTTCCACACTCCAGAGCTACCGACATTACTCACACAGCCCTGCGGGCGGGGAAGTGGCTGACGAGAATAGCGTACAGCCAAAACCTGCTGTCGTCGGCTGGGTCATACTGTCGTGTGTGTGGTGCTTCCGGTTGGAGGTGAGCGGGGAGTGGCTGTCCCGGGTTGAGCAGACGGAAGTAGGCTGCTCTTTCCTCCCGTGTGGGCTGTGGCGTTGGTGGGTCGTTGTCGGGACTTCCCCCGTGTGGTGGGGTGTGGTGTTGCTTGTTGCTGTGGAGGCGGGGTGGGTCTGGTACAACTTCTCTGCTTTGTTGCGGGTGCGTGTGGCTCCCCCGCCTTCATGCTTTCTGTGGTTGTGCTGCGGGCGGTGGCTGCTGCGGCGTCGGGGTGTGGTGGTGGTTTCTGCTGGTGCGTCCCCCGCCGCGCCATCATTCGTTGCTGTAGCGTCTGTGAAGCCCGGCAGGAGTTCACGGTGGATGTAGCTCGTGGGTATTTCCCCCGTTGTGATCCAGTGGTAGTGTTCACGCATGGTCATGCCAGGGATGGCTTTAGTTCCGCCGGGCGGTAGGTTGCTGCCCGTGGCGGCCTGAAAGGGATGCTCGCGGAAGGGCTTGTGTGGTGTTCCCTCCGTTGGTGTTTGTCCCTGCGTCGGGGCCTCTGCTGTGGCTTGTGTGTCTTGGTGGGGGTGCTGTTGCTCCGCGCCCGCTTCGGCTGTGGTGTGGGGCTGGGTTGCTGTGGCTGTTGTCGGCTCCGCGTGTGCTGTTGCCGAGTGTGGCTGTGGCTCCGGTGTTTGTTGCGTGGGGTGTGTGGGTGCCGTGGGTTCTGCCCATGGGTCGGTGTCTGGATTGTAGGTGCAACTCCATGTGGGCCGTGTGGTCGGAGTGGAGCTCCCGTTGGTAGTTGTTCCGCACTGTGCTGGTCGGGAGGTGGCTCGATGATCTGGCCATTGGGATCGCGGAGGTTCCCCCAGGCGTCGTAGGAGGCAAAACCGTGGTCTTGTGCGAGCTGGGCCGCTGTGTATGGTGGTGGTGGGGTTCCCCCCTGCTGGGAGGCTAGCTGCTGTTGGTAGAGTTGTGATAGCCCTTCGGCTACCTGTGGTGGTTGGGCTGTGAGTCTGGCTCCAATGCGCGAGCTCAGACCTTGTGGCTGCTGGTGGTGGTGGAGGTGGGAGGCTGTTGCCCCCGTTGGTGGTTGTTGCTCTTGTGGTGACTGGTCATCGTAGGGCTGCGGCCATGGATCTGTTGCTGGGTTGTATTGTGGGATTGGCGCTGTGGGAGCTTGCTGCCAGTGGTATTGCTGGGGCGCCGCGTGTTGCGTTGTTGTCCGTAGGCTTGTGGGGTTTGCGGGGTCTGCCAGTTGTGTGAGGAGCTCGCTGCGACGTTGCTCTGCGGGTGTGTCGGCGGCTGCTGCTGTTGCGGCTGCTGTGTGGGCATGGCACCTGCCCATGTGTGGTGACCAGGTTGCTGCGGTGTGCTGGGTAGGTGGCCGGCTGCCCCCCCGGTGCGGCTGTCGTGTTGTGTGGCTGTGGCTGGTAAGGTTCCTCCTGCCGTGGCTGCTTGTTCGGCACGTCTCAGCGGTAAAGCGCCTGCTCCTTGAGGCTCGCCCAGTCGGGTCATGGGGTTCGGGCCGTGGGGAGTCGCTGGAGTCAAGGGCTGCAGCGTCTGCGTATGCCTTCCCCCTCTGCTGCAGGCAGGCTGTCAGACTGTCAGCAAGAACATGGTTGCAGTACAGAAACAAACAAGCAAGGACTGTCATGAAGTGTACATCGCAGAATCTCTGTTCTCTCCCCTCAAGTGGTAGGTCAGCAGCTGTCACAGTATCTCAGGTTTGCTCCCTTCACTCACTGCGGTTGCTTGCTTGGTTGTGGCTGTCGCGGAGAGGCTTGCTAAAGGTGTTAGCTTGTCAACGTGGGTGTGCGGGGTGGTCCCCGGGGCGTGTGTGGAACAAGGTTGTTTTGGATGCTGGTCTGCTTGCCTGTTGCCCATGGAACGTCGAACTTGTCAACAAAGCTGGCTGTGAGTAGTTGCCACCGGGTGCGGTCCGTTGCTAGGTCGCCCCAGTTTGTTCCCCCGATGCTTTCTAGGGCTCTCTCCACATCCTTCTCCGGGTTGAAGCGGGCAGCATGGTTAACTCTGTCTCTGGGAGGCTTGCGTTGCTCTGCTCGCCAGAAGCGCAGGTCTTTCCAGCGAATCATAGCGTTTACCTCCTCTCCTGCTCTGGCCATGTGCCCCCAGAGGTTGGTGAGGATGTGGGTCGACCATCTTTCCCATCCCCCCCGGTGCAGGTGTACTCGGGCTGTTCTGAGGGAGCGTATGTGCCAGTCTGCCCACTGCTCTGTGGGCCTTCTGTCCAGGTGGAGCATGCGCCGTAGGTGTTGGGCTTGTAGAGAGTTGGCAGCTCTAAGGATGCGCTGGTTCACGGGCCACGTCTCTGCTGCGTAGAGTGCCGCGTTGCGTACCAGGGCAATGTAGGCTGTCATCCTGCTTGCGAGGCCTGTTCTGGCCAGCAGTATGTGCTTATGTTTGGCAAAGGCTTGTCTCCCCCGCCTGGTCATTTCCGCTATGATGGGCACTGTCTGCTCCCCGAAGGTGATGGGGGAGCCCAGTGTGGCGATAACTGTCTTGTGCGGTTGGCAGGTGGCCGTGGTGTTGCTGATCTGAAAGGTTCCCCCTCCTTCTGGGTGGCTGCGAAGTATGGCGGTTTTGGTGGGGTGGATGTGGAGGCCGTCCTCCGCGAGCTCGATTTCCAGGTTGTGGAGCAAGCATTGGAGGTGGTGCCTATCCTGGCTCCAGAGGTAGGTGTCATCGAGGAAGCTTCCCCCGGATCTTGGTGGGGTGGGACCGCCTTTGGCATCTGGCTTCTGGGCCGGCGCTGCTTGGGTTGCTGCCTGGAGGTCTCTGGCCACAATGGCGCCAAAGAGGTCGGGGGAATCGGGGCTCCCCTGGCGTATGCCGTTGGTTTGCGCGTCTCAAGGATGCTCAGCCAGAGCAGTGCCTCCCAGGGTTGGTCTCCCCCCTCGTCCGGCACGGGATATCGGGATGATGGCACTCCCCCGATCCTTGAAGCGACGAGCTCGCTCATACTATGTTGCCAGACGCTATCGAACGCCTTTCGGATGTCCAATTTAACTAACCATGTCGGCACACCCCAATCGCGAGCCATCTGCGTCACACGTCGAATTGTCGCGATAAGTTCGACTCCTTGCCTCCCCCCTCTCTCTCTCTGTCTCTCTCTCCATCTCTGTCTCTCTCCGGTGTACTCCTTCGGTCTCTCTCTCTCGCTCTCTCTCTGCTTCGCTCTCTCTCTCTCTCTCTCTCTCTCTCTCTCTCTCTCTCTCTCTCTCTCTCTCTCTCTCTCTCTCTCTCTCTCTCTCTCTCTCTCTCTCTCTCTCTCTCTCTCTCTATGACGTGGGTGGGGAGCCCAAGGAGCGTTCAGCCCTGGCACTCCGCGCGAGGACGCGCACCTGCAGTCCATAGCAGGTTTTATCCCGTTGGTGAATTTTCCCTCGAGGGCCCGGCTTCACCAAGCTGAACAAACGAGGTGACGACTCCCCAGAAATCACAATGACAATCAAACATGTTGAAGGCTCAACACAATCAGTCGTCTCCCCCTGCTTGCTGCTGACGTCAAAACTAGCTGCTGCTACGCGGCATCCCCTCCACACTTTGCAAACAACGACAATAGACATGACAATGCACCAAACTGCAGTGGTTAGAAGTCTCAACACGCACACAGAGACACACACACACACACACACACAATCCCTCTCGCTAAGGCTATGGCGGAGTGTTGTGGCTCTGTTTCGCCAGGGCTATGGTGTAGGGGTTCCGGTTGTGGCTCTCTCTCTCTCTCTCTCTCTCTCTCTCTCTCTCTCTCTCTCTCTCTCTCTCTCTCTCTCTCTCTCTCTCTCTCTCTCTCTCTCTCTCTCTCGGCAGCGCAAAGCGAGTGCATGTGCAAGATCGCCTGCGAGTGCATGTGCTGCTCCAAAGCTCGGAGAACGCCTATATGCTGATAGAAAAGAAAACGACAAAACTCGGAGCAACTGCGGACTGTTATCCACCTTTGTCGTGGGGTGGAAGGAACCAGCGGGACATATCCGTCGACATTGGCGAAACGTTAAACAATCCAGTGCGCCTAATGAGGCTTACAGTTTGTGAAGAGACTCCGAAGACTCCCCCCCGACGCATTTTGCGAGTGGTCGCAGATCTCCCGGCTCGCCATGGGCGGGTCCTACGACAACCCTCCGTGGGCACGAACGGCTTGAGCTCTTTGCAAACAGCTGTCGACAGCTGCATGCACTGGAGCCATTCCGTAAGATGTCGTAGCACGCGAACTCCCGCAGTGAGCAACAAAAGCAACCAAAGGAGATAAGGTATTCCAGAATTGTAAAAGATCTCCCTCGCCGCAAGATGCCGCAAGCTCCAAGTTCCCATCTCTGGTCCCGTCGGGCATGGCGGGTTCCAAACGCAATCTGCATGCAGCAAAGCTGTCTTCACAGTCAAAATTTGGCCTTACAGATTGGAAATGCTTTTCGGAAGCAACCAAGGACATAAGACTTTTGCCTTCAGCGATGCAGCGCGGACCTGTGTGTGAAGCTTCAAAGGTGTCGGAGGAATGATTGTCAAGTTGCCAATTAATTAATGGCGGCACTTTGCGCGGACAGATCTGGGGCAGATCCACAGTGTGCCGGCAGGGTGGCTTCCTTGACAGGGCCACTCAACTCCTGCGTTTTGGCTGCATAAGATCTAGCCTTAAAGCTTCCCGCGAAGATGTCACGGTTTGGTAGGCGCTTGGCTTATCCGCGGCGTCTGCAATGCACGGCTCGCCAAAGGAGAGACCTGGTCACGGCCACCAATGTGCCAAGGAGAATTCCTACTGCCAGGCCTCTCCCAAGACCGAGCCAAAGTATGTCGCTTCTTCTTTTCTGTATTGCGTCAGTTTTGGTACAGTCGAAATCAAACAACAGCCTTCTTCTGCTTCTCCAGGAGCAATAGTCATAGTCTTCGCTGAGACTTGGTGAAAGGCGCAAAACAGGTTTGAAGTAAGGCTCCAAGGAAGGTAGTCTTGATTTGTTGCCATTTTTCCGTGAAGACCATGAAGCACATCCATGGTTCACCCAAGGACCTCGCCGAAGCGACCCACCAACTGAAAAGGCGCCTGCGGGGTTTTCGGATAAGCTGTGGCGACAAGCGAAATATCTCCCAAATGCTATGATACTCTGAGCAAACTCTTTGGGCAAGATGCTTTGGACTCGATAGAATAAGCTAGGGCTCGGATCTGTCACAGAACTCGAAACAACTTGAAGCGAGTCTCCACATCTCTATGGGACCGTGCTCAACATTCCCATTAGCGTAGGGTTTGGAAGAGCTTAGGCGTGAAGTGCACGTGCAGGCCGTGCGCAGCGCAGGCACCCACCGACGACTTGTTTCCGGATTCTCAATGGAGCCCTGCCGCGGAAGATATGCCGACCGCTCACTTACAGACGCGACGACCCTTCACCATCGGAGGCATGCACCGAAGAGACTCATTTACCATTGGAAGCAGGTACACAAGGTGAGCATCCACATCGGCGCACGTTCCAAAGTATCTCTGCCACACTATGTACAGTGAAACCTGACCATTGGTAATGGCTGCCATTGGCACATCTCTTGCATGTGCGGCTCCACTGGTAAAGGTCTTCCACTGACTTCCACTGGTGAGTCAATCAATTCCTTCAACTTGCAAGCACTGCCACCACGGAGAAAAGCCCGAGGAGCAACCATACCCTCCAAGAGGCAGGTTGAAAAACCAGACCAAGGCGTACTCCAAGCATCCAAAAGAAGATGAACGGTTTCGCGCACGCGGAGTGCATGTGCTTGTCCTGGAGATGGCAGTCTTGTTGGTCAGGAGAACCGAAACCAATGCTTTCGCTGCTTCAACTCTTGGGGAACTGATTTGAGGTAGTTTCTTGCACAAAAGTGACCTTAAGGAAAGTGGTGGTTGCGTAGAACAGGTGGTTGGAGGGAGTTTGGATATCAATTTCAAACAAAGACTGGCTTGGTCAGTGATGGTTTTGCTAGGGAAAGGGGCCAACCCACGTACCAATACGCATTTGATGCGACTCCAAAACTGTGAGGCTACATGCACTCAAGATGATTACGGCGCCCTGCCTATCAGTCCTTGACAACCTCTTGCCATATGTGATTGGGGAGCAAATCTAAAACCGGCTGTGCCGTTTGCTCGTGGTACTGAGCCAGCACTGTGCTGAATGAAATTCTCCATTGTGACCTGCGTCGAAGGACCCCTTAGCTTGGTCTGCGCGCGCTTTGGCGCCAACTCAGAAGGCTTCTGCAATGCCCGCTTTACGAGTATATATCTCCAGTGAGGGTTCTTAGGGGCGGTGTGGTTAAGAAGACCTGGGAAGTGTGTTCTGGTGGTGTGATCGATCCAGTATGGAAAGGGCATCCTGCGGCGACGACCCTGAAAGAGGATTCGACCCTTAAAGGCAGCTGAGAACACTACGTTATGGAGAGGGCTTTCTGGGGCGGTGTGGTAAACTTCCTTTAGCATTTTAAACTGTAGATCAACTATCACGTCGGAGGGCAGTTTAGGATATCCGGCCTTCTTATAAACCTCCTGGTTCGTAGTATGCGAGTAATAAGAGGCCTTGATTCCCACTATCCTTCTAAGAAAGCGAATGTAGTGCGCGTCTAGTCGGTGCAACTGCCTAGTGGTAATAGTGATAGCGTCCAACCCATAGGTGAGGACCGGTAAGAATGTAGCCTGGAATAGTTTTAAATTTTTGTTTCCGGGACATAGTGCTGTTCCAAACCAACTTGAGTTTCTTGTAGGCCTGTTCTGAAAGCCCTCTTCTATGATAGAAGGCTATCTCGAACGCTTGCTTCCAACTTATCATCGAGCCCAAATATTTGATGTGCGGTGTGGTCGGGACCAACGAACCGTCCTGGAAATGAAGTGTAGTGGTATCCCCTTCACTGTGTACCAGCAGCTCTGTCTTTTGTTGGTTGAGATGCATCCCATATTCTAAAGCTATTTCCTCAAGTGCGGAGAGGTACGTTTGGAGTTGGGGTATGGTGAGTGCTAAAAGCAGCGTATCATCGGCATACTCTAGGTCGAAGGTGGGGTGCTTGATGGACCAGCTGTTGGTGGGCTGTCCTTTTTGCTGCAGTGTGGTCTCCATATCCCTTAGAATAACATCTAGGGTGAGGATAAAGAGGTAGGGGCTTAAAGGACACCCTTGCCTAATGCCCGATCTACAAACCCCCTTGGCGGTGTGGTCGTCCACGCCTCTGGTGGAGAAGCTTGGTGATCTATAAATAGCGCGGATGGCTGCTAAGCTGCGGTTGGAAAGGCCTTTGCGAGCCAGCGCTTCTAGCATAGCGGTGTGGTCGACAGAGTCAAACGCCTGTTTCCAGTCCAAGAAAAAAAGAAGGTGGAGAGGTTTGTCCGTGAGTGTGGACCATTCCATTGCGCGACGCAAGATGAACAGTGGGTGGCGAGTGCCTTTAGCCGCCCTAAAACCAAATTGGTTTGGGCGCAAGGTGTGGTCAAATTGCGCTGCCAACTTCTTTTGTATCATAGCTGCGTAGATCTTGTATGTGGTGTTCAGGAGGGATATGGGGCGGTAGTTGGAAGAGTCCGTGTCCGAACCTTTGCCTTTGAAGATGGATACTACCCAAGCCTCCGTCCAAGATGGCGGTATGGTCCCTGAGGTCCAGGCCTCGTTCTACACTCCCAATAGTAGGTTTTCCCCCTCTGCGTCGAGCATCTGGAGAATTTCTACCTCTATTTGGTCTGGTCCTGGGGCCTTTCTGCTTTTCTGTTGGTATGAAACCTCACGCAGCTCGAGGAGAGTGAATGGATCCTCGTCCGGGGTAGTGACGCTGAGTGGTTGCCTGGCTTGCCTGCTGGCGGCGATGTGGTCCGGGATGTCGGGTGGAGCCCATTGTGTGTTCTGCAGGTGGTCGCGGAAAGCCTCGTGCGTTTTGGTCCAAGGGACCGGCTTGTTATCTACGACCAAATGCGATTTTTTCCCTGTAAAACCTTTGCGCTGTGTGCGGACAGTACCCCAAACCGCGGAGCTATCCGCCGCAAGATCCCCCACAAGCTGGGAATGAACCCAGTTGATGCGATCCTTTCGTGCCATGCGCTTGGCTTTGTTGCGCAAGGTTTTCCAGTTGTCTTGGCCCGTCGATAAAGCGTTGCGCGCTGCCTGTAAGGCGTCCAACGTAGCCTGCGTTACCCATTTATTGCGTGGGCGGCGCTGTTGAACCGGTAAGGTGTCCTTGGCAGACTGCAGAAGCGCCTGTGCGAGCTGATCTGCGGTGTGGTCTGGGGGGCTTGCGTTAGGTGTGTCCGAGATTATTGGGAGTATTCTGGAACCCTGCGACTGAGTAGCATTCTTGCCCTGTTCCGCGAGCTTGTCCGCTCTTTCGTTGCCTTCGGTGCCCTGGTGTCCCTTGACCCAATGTAGTTGCGGCCTGGTCTGTTTGTAAAGAAGTTGCGCTGTGTGAACCATTTGTTTGTGGACTTTGGCCTTCCATCTTCCCAGGATGACATTGATAGCCCATTGGCTGTCTGAGTAAATGTGGAGTTTGGTGGCCTGTTGTTCTTGTGAGTAAAGCATTGCTTCGATGATCGCCGAAAGCTCCCCCGTGTTGTTTGATCCTACTCCTGCTCCTAAGTAGGCGGCGTGGTCTGGGTCGGTGACCACCGGCCCGAATGCTTCATGCCATGACCCGTCTTCTCTTTCAAAACACCATCCCCAACCTGCTGGGGTGCTGCGGCTGCATTTGCCCCTTGTTCCTGAGCCGTCCGTATAGATATCAACCTCGGCGGTGTGGTCTGAGGGGGCGGTCGGGGGACTGCGGGGAACTTGTGGGGTGAGTCCTAGAGAGGTCTTTAGGGTGGAGTTAAAGAGTTGTTTAGCTGCCGGCGTGGCATTCGAGAAGTCCAGCTTCGGTGGTCTGGGAGGCTTAGGGCTTCTGGCTGCTAGCTTGGCTTGTACCTTGGTTACTAAAAGATAGTGGTCTGATGGAAAACCCGTATGCAGTTTAGACCTACAGCTGTTGATAGAATTCATCCATTGGTTCCTGGTGAAGGTGTGGTCAAGCCTTTGAAACCTGGTAGGGTCCGGGTGGGGTTCTTCTAATTTTGGCGGTAGAGGTTGGGGCAGTGGGAGAAATGATCTTATGTGGGAAGCGAGCTTGAGGGCTGCTGTG